ATGAGGTGTCAAATGAAAGAAATTGGCCTCTAGAAAAGCACTAATGTTTTTTTATTAATAGGGTTGCCATCTGTTAATAAAATTACTATATTCAATCATAATAAGCGTAGACATAAGTTCTGCACCGTCACTGTCAAACGAAAAGATTTAGCCTCTACATGTGCAATAATGTACTACTTTTCTGAGTAGGGTTGTCACCTATTAAAAAGTTAAAAGATTTTCGACGTTCGTTGGATTAAAAATTATATACCAAATGAAAGGGCCTGGCCTTCGCATGTACAAAAGCTTTAATTTTTTTAATAGGGTTGCCACCTAATTAAAAATTACTATCTTCTAAACGTAGTATAAAGGAAAGTCGAGATAATTTGACCACGCTAATCTCAAAAACTACTGAACGGATTTATACGAGATTTTTTAAGTATAATCTGTATCGATAGGAATATTATCTTTAGTACTTTAAATTCCTATAGGGTTTCCACCTGACTAAAAAATTATTATATCCGCACTATTCCTTGGATTACAAGAAATGGGGTGTCAAATAAAAGGGCTCGGCTTTTAGATGTTCAATAATGTATTACTTTTTGAGTAGGACTGTCACTTTTTAAAAATTATAAGATCTTCACCGTTTGTTGGACTAAAAACTGAGGTACCGAGTGAAAGGATATGGTCTCTGCATGTGCAATAAGTTTTTATTTTTTGTTTGAGTGCGGTTGCCACCTATTTAAAAATTATGTATGTATAATACGCGAAGTTAGTGACATTATGACATTAGATTTGCACAGTTCATTCAATAAAAAAAAAATTAAGTGTCCAAGGAAAAGCCTTGGGCTTCCGATTTGCATAAGGTTTTATTTTTCGAAGAGGGTTTAAACCTGTTCGAAAAATTAAAAAATGTGGGTTGTTCGTTAGATTACAAGAAATGAGGTGTCAAATGAAAGGGCTTGGCCTCCAGATGCGCAATTATATATTATTTTTTAGTAGGGTTGCAACCGGGTTAGTTGTCAATCGCGCATACGAGGACGGCAAGTTATAATATATACTGGTTATGTAAGCAGTAACATTTTTGCCAAAAAAATGGTCTTGCTAGATGGTGCCAGGGTCGAAATATTTTGAAAACCCGTATTTATGCTCTGATTTGTTTCACATTTGGCATGTTTACTTGAAAACCAAGTCAAAATCCACTACTACCAACAGTTGTAATTTTTTTTTAACTGAATAACGGATACAAATCTAAAAAAACCTTTTTAAAATTTAGACTTTTTCAATTTTTTTTTTACATTTTGTCATACGAGCGTTACGAAACGCCAGATTGGAAATACACATATGCACACGTACCGAAGAAATGTTTCACTGTCGGAAACCATCGTCCGCCGCAATTGTGTGCACTCAGACGAATTTCACTGCGGCAACTGAATACCGCAGTCCGCTGTAATTCTGTGTAGAACTTATATCATGGAAATTTTGTTCATAATTCTTTAGGCTCCGAACGACACCGCCGCGCAGATGTTTTCGTCACTCGGAACATATACATATGTATATGTACAACAGCTGTCAAAATAATAGCAGCAAAATTTAAATGATATTAATTGCAACTCCTGTTTTCTTATTGATTTTTAATAATTTTCATTTAAAATATAGCTCCGGATCATGGAAATCGGTTCACTATAACATATAGCTCCCATACAACTGATTGTTCAGATATGTGGTTTTGCGTTACAACTCATATTTTATTTCGTAATATTTTTTTATAATAGTAGTTTATACACTGCTTGGACCTGAATTTGGTGTACGAATGGCTTTTTAATACCTTTTTTGTACTGTGAAAGCTGTTGTTCGTTAAAGTCAAAGTGACTGAGTAATGCTTTCAAATAGGCAGCGGTCTATACCGCGTCTATTTCACATAAGTTGGGAACCAAAAAACACAAACCGAAAATCTACGCGCGTGATTACTGTTATATTAATTGATAAAAAACATCGAAAATTTTGCGAAAAACTTTTATTCATCATATCATTGTCTTCGGAAACTCCTAAAAAGAAAAATATTTGGGCAATTCACAAGGTGTCGTATTTGTCGTGTTTGTCGTGAAGTCATGATATTTCATGACAGTTGTAAAAATGTTATTATTGTTTTGTGAAGAAAAATAACACATGACGATACAACTCTGCAACCTATGTTTATTCGGTGTTATGTGAGGTTAAGTGCTGAGATATAATAAATAATCGTAACAGGTGTTCACAACCGTCGTGTTTTAACACAACTTTTGTTAGGAAAATATAACTTCACAACACCTTGTGAATTGCCCAATTAAAAAGCTTTGCAATAAATTAAACAAGTTTGTTTCGTTTGTGGTAAATTCGTTTTGAAATCAGACCAGCGTAAATTAGTCTCAAATAAAAATGCACTAGCATGCTATAAATGGTACTTTTTGCAATCTGAACCTGCACAAAATAAATACACTCCTGAATTCACATGTATTTCGTGCATTAGTGCGATGAATTTTTGGTGGACAAAAAAACGATTTTCGTTACCATTCGGTTTACCAATGATTTGGACAAATCCCGGAAAACACGAAGCTGAAAATTGTTATGCATGCACCAACAATACATTTGGTTTCAATCAAAAAAGTAAGTAAATTTAAATAAAACCATGAAATTTTGTATAGTTTGCCCTCACCTTAATCGCCGAGTGTATGAAATAGGTAAAAGTTTCTGTATGTTTGGAAGGTACCACGCCTAAGTATAACCAACCTTGGAAAGTCTTTTGCGTTTTTAAATCGGCAGCTGAGATAGGTCGATCTTCCACTCAGCCATCGATATATGCATATATATGTACGTACATATACTCATAAATATTTGATTCAATAGATCGGTCTTGTGTCGTCTACAAAGGTGTACCGAGCGCTCATTTAGCTGTTGCACATAGTGATGCTTTAAAAGTTCCAAATCATCCATCCGAACTCGAAACTGTCTATGATTGCAAACAGTCTATGGCAACGCCATTACCACTTGATGATGGATCTGATTACATTCCGATTGAAAACAATTTACCGTCTTTCATATCCCAAAAACACCTAAACAGCATGGTGCGTAAATTAAATCTCTCCCATAACAACGCAATGATTTTGGCATCAGAACTGAAAAGCATGAATGTTTTAGCACCAGGAGTAAAAGTAACGGCCTACAAACATAGACAAGATCCGTTTATGCCATACTTCAAGTTATCGGAAGATGGCACTCAGGCTTATTGCATTGATTTTGCAGGTTTGATGAATGAAATGGGAATTACTGACTATAAACCCGAACAATGGCGTATCTTTATTGACGCATCAAAGCGAAGTTTGAAAGCTGTCTTGCTCTATCGCGATAGTAGCAAGAAACCCGTTCCCATCTTGTATGCGGTTGGAATAAAGGAATCATACGAAACAATGCAATTAATATTAGATTGCATCAAGTACGAAGAGCACAGGTGGCGCGTGAACTGTGATTTTAAAGTTCTCCCACTACTATCAGGCATGCAAACGGGTACACTAAATACTGTTGTTTGTTCTGTCATTGGGATAGTAGAGCCAAATGCAATCACCAAATGTGATTGGCTAAAAAGAAAGGAACAATCGATTGGTAAATTCAATATAGTTCACGAGCCCTTGATAGCGCTTAACAAAATCATGCTTCCCGATTTACATATCAAACTTGGTGTTGTTAAGAATTACATCCAACAGTTGGTTAGAGTCAACGAAACTGCATTCCTATATTTGAAAAATAATGCCTTTCCAAAACTTTCCGTTGAAAAAATCCGTGAAGGTAGTTTTTTGATTGTATATGAGTGAAAATCTCTCAAGTGGTTGTAAACCGAATAAAGTGATTTGTGCGAAAATATCTTGACCGTCCAATTTTGGGTGGCCCATTTGAGAGATTTTCGCTCATATATTTTATTATATCTCTCTCTTGCTTTAAGAGCCCTATAATTTTTATTTCAGGTGTGCTTAATGGGCCGGACATCAGAAGATTAATGAAGGATCAAGGCTTCTTGGAAACTCTTGATGGCACAGCAGCCGTTGCAAGGGATGCAGTTCGGTCTTTAATTAAACACGTTCTGTGTAAAAATCGTACACCAGAATATGCCATTTTTATTGCGAACTTGATGGAATCTTTTGACGCCTTTGATGTGCACATGTCGCTTAAAATCCACATGCTACACAGTCACTTTGACTTTTACGAGCAACAGCTTTCAACAGAAACCGAGGAGGTAGGAGAGATTTCACCAATCCATTATGTGTTTTCAGGACCGATTCGCTGTAAAACGATTAACTTCAATGTTGGCGGACTTTTGCTGGTCGATCGCAGGAGGCAAAGGATATTAAAAAAATCATTCGAGCAATAGAAACTAGCAAAATATGCCAAAACGGGATTGAAGAGAACCCAAATTTAGGTCCAAATTGTATATAAACTAATATTATAAAAAAAATATTACGAAATAAAATATGAGTTGTAAGGCAAAACCACATATCTGAACAATCAGTTCTATGGGAGCTATATGTTAAGTGAAGCGATTTCCATGATTTTCAGAAATAGCTAAGGTAATATCAAAATACAGTCACGTACAAAATTTTAGTAAAATAACCTTAAAACTGAGGTAATTATTAACAAAAATTTAAGCAGATTTTCAAGCACTGTTATCTCGAAAACTAGAGCCAATCTGGAAAAACAGAGGACGCCATTGAATTTAAAAGATCCCAGTTAAGTAAGATCAGTTATCAAAACCTTTGCCCAGAAAAAAATTCAAAACCTGAGCACAGTGTTTTAAACGACGAAGTTTGAAATATGAATTTATATGGTTTTTGTTAGATAGAAAGTTATATTTTTATAAAAAAAATAATAAATATTAAATAAACAAAAGAAAAAATTTCAAATTTTGTTTAAAATGTCGCCACCCTATTTATTTTTCCACCACTTTATATTAATCATTGCTAATCATACAGTATGGAATACACTATACGTACCGATAGTTCTTCAGCATATTGTTCCGCTTTATTAGCTAAAGCTAAAAGGCGACTTTGTTCAATGCCCAACAAATTAAGAAAGTAAGTTCCATCTTTTTCAGCATTCGCTATAATCGATTCAGTTTTTTTTGGTTTCAACAAAACTTCGATTTCCATATTAACACCGTTTGATGAAGGTATGCTGCTTATTTGATGTGTGGATCTTGGAGTTTCTTTGCGGTCAACTTCATCTATTAATGATTCAACCTTACTAGAATCTAATAAAGCTTCATTTTCGGAAGTTTTATGAGGAGAATTTCTGCACTGACTTTTTTTGGGCGAAATGATAGGTAACTGAGCTCGAAACTCTTGGCTTAGATGACGTAGTACAGGCAAATCAACGGTATTGTTGTTGACAGTTGAGATGTCAGTTGATGAAGGAATTTGCCGTGGAGATGTAGATGCACTTAATTTTTTTCTAAATTCAGTATAATCTTTACTTGGAGTAAGTTGTTGAAATTTACGAGCTAATTCCGACGAACTATCATCTTCCCGAGACGCGAATGTGCTGCTGCGTACTTTTTTGGGACTGTAAAAACCCTGTGCTAACGCTGCGGGTCCATACAAACGTTCTACCCTCTGCTGAATAAAACTAGTATTGCGACGATCTTCCAGCCATGGCGAATCACAGCGCTCGCATTCATTGGTGTCTGATCTGTTAATATTATACTGGCCGTTCAAAGCAGGTATTTTCCGGTTTGATACATCACCCCTTCCATCATCCAATTGTAGAAGAATTGGTGGTGCCAAAGAATTGTTTTTTTTACAATACTGAATACTATTTGATGATGGGCGAATAGGAGATACCTCGCGTGATTTATTTATATCCTGTCGTATTTTAGAATCATATGTTGTAAGATTTGAATATCCGTTCACGCAGCAAGCTAGATTCAGGTAACTGGGCTTTTTATCAGGACTGGTATCAGATAAATTTAGGAATTTATTCGAATTCGAGTTTGACGAGTTATATAAGGCACTTGTTGGGTTGGCATTTCCAAGAGGCTGCTTCAACACCATCTTCGACCCAAGTCCTGCACAATTTTCATTCATTTCAGGGGATCTCTGAACAGAACAGCGATCTCGTATATTTGTCGTGAATTCTCTAGTAATGTCTTTAACAGAAATCGGTGTTGGAAAATTCAGGCTTCCACTTGTATCTATTAACAATTAAGGAAAATCAAATCAATAGCAAATATATCTTAAACAATATGGGCATGAAGAGAACACACATATTCACACTGTTATAACCACTTACAAGTCTATTTTGCGCTGGTAATAAAAGTATTGTAACCGGTAACTAAAGTTCCTGTCAATTTTTAAATTCTTTTCGCTTTCTGTGTACCTACTCTTGTAACCAGTAAATTTTGTTACCATATCATAAGCTGGTAACAAAGTATTGTCCCGTGAAATATGCAATGCCAGAATTTCCACAATTCTTCATAGCTAAATGGCTGAATATTTTAACTACATTATCAACGTACCTAGAATCGCGGTGGTAAGATCTGGTAACATATTTTGGTAATAAAATTTACCGGTTACAAAGTCTTCGGTAACGTGCAGAATAGACCTGTTGAAGTTAAATCTCATTGCCTTCACTAGCCAGTAACAAGTACTTTATTCAATTTGTCTGCTATTAGTCTAAGAGCTAGCAACGTTTTCGAGAGAGAATTTCAGGACAGCTGGGTTTTTGATTGACATATCTCTCACTCCCTCGGTTAGCGTGGGAGCTATGTGGCAGGCGGTAATGGTTCCTTTGACTAGTGCGCATCGTATATTTACAGTTAAAAATGCTAATATTTTAAATCATATAGTAAGGCTAATTTTATTTTCATTGGCTTTAACTTAGCTTTTAGAAACGTAGATTTATTATTGCAGGCATGTCCGTTGTTGCCAACATTGTGCCAGACGTCATTTTTTATTAATAAAAGTTAAATTTTTCAACTCATTTTAGTAAGGCTCAAAATTTAATATGATGTTGTTTGAGTACTAATGAATCTAAAGTTAATTTGCCAGACATTAATTCGGTTGCTAAAGCAAGAGCCAGACCGATTTAAAGCTGAAAAGCATTACGCTGGTAGTGAGGGAGATAGTAGCAAAATAGTGAATTTTCATAGGATTTTAGTATGAAAACTGGAAACTATAACTACTTATCTAATGTTATCATAAATCTTAGTATTGGAATATCAAAAATAATTTTTTTTTTCAAATACATACGTTAAGGCAAATAAAAACTTAAAACATTTCAAAAAACACAACTTGTCTAGTGTCAGAATAAAGCAAGAAAAGCAAGAGAAAAACACAAACATTTTGATATTTATAACATTATTATAACATTTTTATATTTATAATTGTGTCATAAAAAACACTGGCTTACAACAAAAACGCGCACTGGATGCCACTATCCAATTCCTATGCAGAAGCGCTTGCTGATTCCGCAAATCAAGTATTTCTTCTAGTGATGGGAAGTATCGAGTACTTTCAGGAATCGAGTACTTCGGTATCGATTCTTTTAAGAATAAGGTATGTTCGAAATAATCGAGTAGTTTTTTGTACCAAAACTTTTTTTAGTCGGAATTTGACTTCTGCCAACACTATTTTATTTCGTCTTATTCGCATATGAATTTGGCAGCACTTTTTCACGTTTGAACGCAAACAACTCTTTTTGTTTTCGAGTTTTTGTAAAGTAAGTTTCTGCCCCTGAATAAATGTCGCAGAGATCGGACGTTTGGATTTTTTTTTAATGAAACAAAGGATATAGCGCATTGCATAATCTGCAAAAAAGGTTTAAAACATAATGGAAATACTACAAACTTAAGAAAGCACTTAGAGCGATTACACCCAGTGAAAATTTTGCGGTCACGCAGGCAAGAGCAGGCCAAGGAATCGACGGATGGTGTACAAATTTCTGGTAAAGTTCATTTCTGATGTGCAAATAGATACATATGTGGAATAAATTATAATTTAGAAGTATTTTCAGTAAGTGTTCAGTCTGAGGCAGTAGGTGATGAAGTCAGTTTTGTGGTGAATTTCATATCACAGGTAAATTAAGTCAATTATAAAACTGCAACTAATTTCAATGACTCACAATTGGCAGATCAAATTAATTTATTGGAAAGCGACGGTGTTCGACCATTGTCCACAAAAACTTACGTCAATTAAAGCTATGCAGTAAAGCAATTGCTCTCACACGGCAACGAAAAGACAGCATTAACCAAAAGCTATTAAAATTTGTTGTTTCCGACTTGCAACCATTATCAATCGTTGAAAATGTCGGGTTTAAAGAGTACACATATTCATTGAATGCCGAATATTCCATCCCTTCTAGGAAACAATTGTCAGAACAACTATTGCCTAACCTATATAATAGATCGGTGTTGGACTTAAAAAGCATGTTGCGGGATGTAAAATATGTTGCCGTGACCACGGATATGTGGACATCAGATTCCTCGATGTCATACATAACACTAACATCTCATTTTATTTACTCTGGTGAATTACGCTCTTATGTAGGGCAGTGCCCGCCAAAAAGAGAAAAGTCTTAAAATGAGAGTGTATTAGTTATGAAACAAAAAATGAGAATGTGTTGGTGGTAATGCACGGAAAAAATTTCTGTGTTGTATTACTTATTATAAAAACTTTGGTATGTTTTTTTGCCGTTTTTTTCATTGTGCACCATTTTTTTTAGATCTAAACAACATCGAAAAATATAATGAAAGTTAACGGCCCTAAGAAAGGAAAAAGTTGGTAACATTTTGTATGTATTGTACAAAATTATTATTATTTTTTTATAATTTAATGGCCTTTTTCATAAAAAATAAAGTAGGTTTAAAGGGCTTTATAAATTGACGTTTTCATACATTTTTCAATTTATAAACCTTTTATAAAGCTACTTTATTTTTTATGAATAAGGCCATAAGTGTGGATTTCTGAGCAAAAAAGACAACGTGCTTCGAGCACTCTGAATATTAAAAGAAAATTTCGTTGATTTCAAGTAGAAATAAAATAAAAATATATATATCTAATATATATTTATTTTAAAATTAGGTAAAACTTGACACTTAAGAACAATTTAAAGTAACGATTAAACCAAAAGATAAATAACAAAACATATTGTATGTTTTAATTGAGGACTAGTCTGGTATTAAAAAAAATACATAATTCACAAAGTTCTTTTAATATGAAGAAAAAACACGCCTTGGTACCATATACATACCTATTTCTAGGGGTGTATGAACGAAAAATTGTGTTGTAAAATTTTTTAATGAATATTCATTCATTCTGCTCAGTGTACCTACTTTATTCAACAACAATGCGTCATCAACCTGCTTCGCCTATTGTTTGCATGCAACTAAATAAAATTTGTTGCTCTTCTACTCTTTCTGTTGACCTTCGGATTGTGTACGTGTAAGAAGCCGATTGTGTACATGGGAAAGGCCGAATATAGTTCGTTTCCCAGGAAAGTGTTTGGCGGGCACTGATGTAGGCATAGTTGCCAACTTGGTGCTTTAAGCACTAGATTTAGTGCTTTTTGAAAATTAAAACGCCAAAAAAGTTACTTAGTGCCTAGTGCCTTTTTTAGTGCTTTTTTTGAACTAATATTACTCCGAAATAGTTAAAACCTGAAATAATTTGAAATGCGGAATTTACAAGAATATACAAATCTAAAATATAACCATGATTGATAAAAAGCTGAAACAGAAAATGCTAGTACGCAGGCAAGTTAGGTATTTATTTTTTTCATTTCTAATTATTTGTACAAATTTTGATTTTTTGTTACCTCCTGAGTAAATCACACCGTTTCTGGGTGCTGAATCAATTGTTAGATATCCTAACCTTAAAGTTAGATATCCTAACCTTAAAGTGCCAAAAAAAACGGTTTTTTGAGGTTATATAATGAAAACATCAAATTTTTTGCTCATTTCTACTTAGGGCATCATTTTCGTTTGTTGCGATTCGATTTTGGTTCTCGAGATATACCAGCTTTAATGGGCAGTACTTCGGTACAACGTCATAAACATGAGTCATCATAGCATGTGTAGAGGCTATTCAATCGTTATGAGCGAAAAAGTTTTGTGTATTGATTTATGTATGTATTCTTGTAAATATTGCTAATTTTTTCATTTTGTTAAATACAAACTGTTATGAAAAAAGCATCCTTTGATTAAAAAAAATTTGGTGCTTTTAGTTTGGTAAAACGCCTTTTTTCCAAGTTTTTGGTGCTTTTTGAAAATCATAAGTTGGCAACACTGGATGTAGGGATGCACACAGTGTTGCCGCGCCGTCCCAAGAAAATGTATCACCGGCCAAGCCAAAAATGTATCCAAATGTATCCAATTTTTTACGTATCCATCTCATAATTTGTAAGAAAACCAAACATTTTGAAGAAAAAGACATAATTTAACCCATCCTAAGGACTTGGACTACGTGTATATATATTTTTATATTTCATAAAATCAAACATTTGTAATTTCAATTTATAAATTACATCTTTTATACATAAGTATTTTGCAAAGTAAGTATAAAAAATAGTAATTAATATGTTACATTTGTACCTGTACACTATGAAAAGTGTGTGTAAAACTACTACTGAAAAATATCTATTTTTCAACAGGAATCTGTATAAATATACATACGTATAAGATGTTCAGGATTCGATTTTGAACTTGAGATCTTTAAAATATACACATAAATATACACATGAAATGTTTAAAGTTGCAAAAAATTTTGAAACTAAAAATACATTTCCTACAAACAATAAACATTAGGGGATTACGTTTACTCTATTTTAAATATTTTATGTGTTATTTTGCGCTCTGCGACAAATTTGATATGTTAAAGTAAACAGGCAGTGTTTAATTTTATTACACGGTGTGCAAATTTGCACACATTAAAAGAGGAAAATGGTTACCTTTCTTAATATGCCCAAATAAACAAAAAAAAATTAGAGTGTATTTAAAGTCTTTTCAGTAAAATTCATAAAAATTAACTTAAATAAATCAAATTTAGTTTTTAAACAGTGTATTTTAAACTACATTGAGATCTTCTTTCTTTTTATATTAACAAACGAAGATATGTGATATGCAAGAGATATATTTAATTCATATATATATATTAAGATCTTGCTTAAAGCATTTTTTTAGCTAACTAAACAATTGCG